TATCAAACTTAGTCACAAAATTAAAGGAGAAGGAAGGATCCAAGTAAAATATTTGTCAGGAAATAAGAACAAGAGGCCCAAGGGCCTTAACGGTCACCTGAGTATAATGTAACACAGTAAAGGATCCAAAGATTGAATATAAAATAAAATAAGTTGATAAATGAAGCTATGTTGCCGAAAAGCAAAAGAAATAGGATGATCAGGGACCAGCAAAATAATTGATTTAGTGCCCTTTAACATATCTTAAAGTTGATCCAGGGGCCAAGAAATTCACAATTCACAAGAAGCACCCTTGCACTTAGTATGTTTGCTAAAACCCACGGACAGAGAAGATCTTCAAAGAGATAATGCATTTTTACTATACATTCAAAAGAGTCCCACCCTAACACAAAAACCCCTGACCCAGGGGTTATGAATTTCAAACCTTTTGAAAAGGCATCCTTGATCACTATAACCATGCAATTAGTTTGTCTGCTAAATACCCAAGGGCAGAGAAGATTTTCAAAGAAATAATGCATTTTCACTGTATATTCAACAACCCCTACCCAAACCTGAACCCTTGGGCCACAAATGTCACAGTTTTGGAAGAGGCACTCTTGATCACCATAACCATGCACTTAGTTTTTCTGCTGAATACCCAGTAGCAAAGAAGATTTTCAAAGAAATAATGAACTTTCACTATATAATCAATAGAGCCCCCATCCCCTCACACAGAACCCCTGACCCTGGGGACACAAATATCATAATTTTGGAAGAGGCACTCTTGATTATCATGTAATTAGTTTATCTGCTAAATACCCAGGAGTAGAGAAGAAGATTTAGAAAGTATAAATGCAATTTCACTATATAATCTATAGAACCCAGCCCTAACACGAAAACCTGACCTATGAAATTCAGAATTTTGGAAGACGCACCCATGTTCATTATAACTATGCACTTATTCTATGTGCAAAATATCCAGGAGAAGAGAAGGAAATTTTCAAAGAAATAATGCACTTTAACTAAGTCTTCAATAGCGCCCACCCACCCACCCACCCCCCTTCGCAACTAAACTCCTGACCTTGGGGCCACAAATTTCACAATTTGGAAAGAGGCACTCTTGATTACCGTAACCATGCACTTAGTTTATCTGCTAAATATCTAGGAGCAGAGAAGAAGATTTTCAAATAAATAATGCATTTTCACTATATATATATTTTTGTACTATCAATAGAGCCCCATCCTAACACAATAACCCTTGACCCATATGCCATGAAATTCACAATTTGTGAAGAGGCACGTTGCTCATCATAATTATATACTTGGTTTATTTGCTAGATACACAGGAGCAGAGAAGAAGATTTTTCAAAGAAATAATGCATTTTCTCTATATAATCAATAGAGCCTTCTCCTCCCCATAGGACCCTTGACCCTGGGGACAAAAATTTCACAATTTTTAAAGAGACACCTCTGATCATCATAACTATGCACCTAGGTAATCTGTTTTATATACAAGGGAGAGAAGAATTTTAAAGAATTTAGATTTTCGAGGCTAAAAAAGCATGTTCCTTCCATCTGCTTTTTCTATAAAAAAAAGATGCTATTTTTAACTGAGATCAAGAAGTTTTAAATTTGGAACATTACAGTCATATTTATCCTTGTGTCGACAAAATTCTGGAACATCCTTGAATCTTTTCTTTCTTAATAGGGTTACTTTAAGTTTGGGCAACTCTTCCTAGAAAAAAAGTCATCAATTCTGTTGTTTTACAGAGAAAAGAATTTTAGCTTTGTAGGCAAGGAATGCCCCCCAGAATATGGAAGCTCGTTGTCATCCATTACAATTCTTTTTAACGAAGATGTTGACTGAAACGAATCTTCCTCGAGCTCAGTCATGTTCATTTTTGGTTAGGTACAATTCCTGAATTGTAATACGCTGTAGGCCTTGTAATAAGATTTCTATTTTAGAGAATGGAAGCTGGTTGTCACCAAAATAAAGCCTTTTAAGATGTGGAAGAATCAAAAAGCTTGCTCATCAACCTTATCAATGATATTATTTTACTTTAAAACAATTAGTTTTAAACGATTTATTAGATGCAGCTGAGATATATTGACAAATACATTTTTTGTGAATCTTCTTATACCGTTGTTAATAAACTGAAGGCTCTGAGTGTCTTCGGAAAGAGCAGGAATAAAATCTAATAATTCTTCATGATCTGTACAGATTGCTTCTCTGTTTCTGCAAACACATACAGGACATGATATATTTATCTGCATCATGGCCACAGAAATTCTCTGAATTGTTAGAAATATCCATAATTAATTTATCGAGTACATATTGCGTGTCAGAATGTTATACATGTCCTACAAATGTCACGCAGTCTCTCCTTTTTTTTTTTTTTTTTTTTTTTTTAATAAAAGGACTTTGATATGATATGGACAATTGTTCGAAGTGTTTATAAGGAAAACACTCATATAACATGAAATTTTCATCGTCAATTCTGTAGAATTATGGAATGATTGTGAAATGAAATGGAAATTTAATGATATGCATGTATTGAACTCTCAAGTATTAACCAAAAGCCATTCAATGACTTTCCATCTAGTTCTTGGCTTATTTCCACAGAGTCAACTATGTTATCTGTTTTAAAGGATTTAATATACTAATATTCAAATTCCACTTGTCTAATATACTAATAAACACTTGTTTGTAGTCATGGGATATCTAAATACAATTGATAAAAATTTTATGGAAAAACAAGTGATTGTTTATTAGATAGTTTGGAAAAGGAAAGACACCCGTTTTCATTTAGAAATAATGAAGTTCAAAATGAATCTCTCGTCGACGATTGGCTCTTTTCAAATAAAACTATACAACAAAGGTCACAAACATAACTTTACACCTTGTTTAACTGCCATTCCTTAATTCTAATATAAAACACACCCAAAGACTGTAAAATCAAAAAAAAAAAAAAAAAAAAAAAAAAAAAAAAATCAACAAAACCTGTTGTAAACAGACTTTTCTAACGAAAATCTGCTTGTGCTCCGTCATTTCTAATTGACCAATGATACATAAATGTAAACGTTTTCCTTCATGATAGCATTACAGATGAATGTATTATATTTCTTTGTATTCCCTACCAGTAAAACCTGAAGGACATATATAAGTCTCTGTCCCTCAATCTGTCAGTCAGTCTGTCCCCCTTAGTTTTCCGGGTTTTTTTGCTCCGCTTCGATGATTTTTGAAGGAAATGCTGGTATACCATACTGGTTTGTTTCTTTAGTTTGATGTAGCCTTTAAGCATAACTTGATTTAACCTGTGTATTGTAATGAGATCAAAATTTTATCGCCTCGATCCCGCTTGAATACAAATTATTTTTTTCTTTCATACGCTCTTTTTCCGTGATTACTTCTAAGGCATTTGATCCTTTGTAAATGTAAAGGTTAACACTTTACTACATTTTTTAATATAGTTCTCAAGCATAAATGGTTTTGTGGGTATGAGCAATGAAAAAAATACGTGAAGCAATCTACATGCTACATGGCCGAAGACTGAAACATTCCATCCAATACTTAGAATACCAAACCTTGAACATATGTAAAGTTGCTTTAAATCTAAGTTAAGAAAATGTTCATCCGTTTTGTCGTAACTTCTTAGCATGCATTTACAAACTTTGCAAAAAATATAATCTGATAAAGCAAATAAGCTTTGACACGGATAACAACTACATGTACTTTTAGTGATTGTAATTTCTGAACAAATTTTCGTGAAGAATTGATGTAACCGAAATCCAGTCTGATGATAAAACAAGTCTTTTAATGGATTGTTGCAAGTTGGAATACAGTTATTATATTTAGTTTATATACATTATTTGTTTATATATTCCTACACGGCATTGGCATATTTAAGATATTACTTACTAGCAACTCCGTTTTTTTTATAAGATCGAGACTTTGGCAGTAATGCTTATAAACGCTTTGTCACACTAATTGATACTATGGAAATAGATTTGAAAAATATGTCCGATTTCTTAAAGTTTCGCGACAATAGACCCAATCCAAAAGTATCCACCTTGTCAGTCGTTCAGAAAAAGTCAATCCTTTTCAGATGAAAAGTGAATTATTTAACCCTACTTAATAAGAGTGTTAAAATAACAAACTTCTGTTTCACGCTATAAATATTATGAATTTATCTTAAGACAAGAGTTTTGTTATAATCAAAGTAGCGTAGAGTTAATTCAATTTTTGTAATCGGGCTTTCGAAGGGTGTCCTGCATACTGTTTTACCTTGTTCAATTGATGAAAAATATAAGTAGCACTATGTTTGCATGTTTTTCTAAGTACGTGGATTATTGTTTTAGGTGAGTTGGAAGTTAGTTTATTTATGGGGCCTGGAGTAAAAGAAAATAACAAAAATAAATTGACAAACAAAAAATTTAATATGTTCTTATTATTAAGGGATCGAAAGCGTTAATTAGCTTTGTTTGCTATTGCAAAGTATACTGTAAATGTATTATACTTTGTGTGTACGATATTTAGCGGAAATTGATTTTTGAAGAAATTAGCGTAGATTTGATTTAGCGCATTTCTTAAAGTTCTTATATATATATATATATATATATATATATATATATATATATATATATATATATATATATATATATATATATATATATATATATGCAGAGATATTTAGCGTTGTACTTGAATTAGCGGAAGTTTCTTTCCACCAAAAGGCTCTAAAAAGAACACACAGCCAAATAGTACGCTTAAAGTATTCTGGCAACAAAATATTTGGGCCCTATATTTCGACTTTTTGAAAGTTTGGCCACCTAAATAACAAAAATCTTTTCCATCATGCCAGACATAGGTAAACAAGTTACTTTATGCATTTTATAGTCAAATTTTAAGACAAAAATCCAGTTTCAATATCCTGAATGGATTTCAAATATATAGCTCAAAAGCATCTTCGTAATCAATGAATCTAGAGCAATGTTTAAAATGAAAAATTGAAACAATCAAATTGTTTTCATTATTTGTTTTAATATAGGGACACTAAGAACACAATATCAGGCTTGAGTTACTTAGTTATTCCACATCTTCTTCTGTCTTCAGCACGTCTTCAGTCTCTCTTTTGTCTTCCTCACCCAGATCTCTCCCATGAAAGCGTCTCTCTGTCAAATTAAATGCTTTATACTAAAGCTACTTTTTTTTTAAATGCTCTCTAAAGCAAAGGTTCCTCTCAATCTTCATGTGATAGATCAATTTAATCATTGTAATTTATCTACGATACCAATTGTAAATAGGAAAGAATTTAAATAACTTTGCAATCCTACAGAAAGCCCGATTTCCTTAGTGCGTAATGTGCCCTTATCGGAGATAGTTTTCTTTTTCAATAATTCATTTTGACAAAAAAAAAACAAAAAAAAAAAAAAAACAAAAAAAAAAAAAAAAAAACAAAGCAAAAGAAGACAAAAAGAACCCCAACCAACCAAACAAACAAAAAACCAAAAAAAAAAACAAAAAACAAACAAATAAATGCAAAAAACAAAGAAAAAAAATAAAAAGAAAATAAAACAACAAAATCCAACAAAAAACAATCAAACAAACAAAAAACAAATGAAACAAAACAAAAAACAACAAACAAAAAAAATGCAAAAACAAAACAAACAAACAAAATAAAACAAAAAATAAATACAAAAACAAAAAAAAACAACAAAAAAAACAAAAAAACAAAAAAAACAAAAAAACCCCAAAAAACAGAAGAAATAAAACAGAACAAAAAACATACAAACAAACAAAAAACAAATAAAAAGCTCTTGATACAATTACACCGAGGAGAGAATTGCACTTCCTTAGATGTAGTCGACTTTCTGTGTGAAGAAACCTTACTTACTTTTGCAGTAATACTTCACTCTAAGGTATTTGTAGGTTCCTTTACACGGATCTCCAAATACGGAATTGCTGGCCTTAATGGAGCATCTGCTTTTCCCGTTGCATAATCTTTTTACTACAAACAGGGATTTTCTGGATCTACATCTTGTGCTACAATGACTAGCACCCTTTCTTGAACAGGTTCTTGAGTTTTGTCGGCCATATGCAGCATAGTGCACTCGAATGTACCGATGTCTTCCGCAATTCAAAATCATTCGGCGATGTTCACATGCTGTTTTCGTGTGTACATACCTTCCTGTTATTTAAATGAAAATTATGTAATTAAAAAATCTAACGGAAATGTAGCAATTCTTTAATTATCTAAACAAGGTAGTAATTGCAAGTTTTACATAATTTCGGAAACAATAGAATATTTTCCTTCTCTAGCAATACCCCATCCTTTTCTCATTGTCTATTTCTAATGCCTCATGGAATCCAGGTATAATCTTTATTTATTAACCACAAAATTCTACCTTCTTCTTTAAAACTTAATTCTTAATTTCTAATTTTGATCTTCCACTTGCTGATATATAATTTTATCAGTTTTGGTATATATTTTTGTAAATGGTTAAAAAAGAGGAGCCAGTAAGATAGGTCAGCATATTAGTAAAACTATAGGTGTAATTACGAATACTTAATTTTATACTGACAACCATATATTATTTGACTCCTATGGATTTTACCAAGATATGATGCTCAAATAAAAATGTTCTCCATTTACCAAGCTATTCCACGCGATCTTATCTTCTGCAGGTACATGAGTTCATACACAAGTATTTAGTTCTTTGCCTGAATTCAAGTAAGGAAAAAAATAGACTTGTGTGAAAAAGGTTGAAGATAAAAAACAGTGATCAACATAATAAAAACCTACAAACAACCTACAAATCTGTGAACAGGGCATAAAACATGGACCCCCGGGAATTCCAGAGGTGGGATCAGGTGCCTAGGAGGAGTAAGCATCTCTTGTCGACCTGTAACATCCTTTGTGAGACCTACGTTTGGATTAGGTAGACGGAATAATTCCGTAGTCTAATTTTGTGTAAAAACAGTCCTGATAATTGGTATGAAATATCGCTCAAAATACGACCCAATGATAGATTGTCGGAGAATCACATTTATTGAGAGCAAAAACCTATCTTTAGTTTAGGAGAAGGTTTTGACATTTATATGCAGATAGAAAAAATGAAATTTCTTCAGTCTTAATTCATTTTTAACAATTTAAGCATATCATGTCATTTTAGCAATAAATACAACATATTTAGTCGTAGATTTTGATATCTTTTATCGAAGAAAGTATAACTTGAAAAAAAAAACCTGGTATAGAAAAAAAAGTATATTTTCTTCCCTGAATATTTAAAATTATTAATAATACTCACTTCTTCTCCACCAGAAACCATCAGTATCTTGAAATATTAAAAGATAATTAAAGTAAATAAAATATACAGAAATTACGTAGGTTAACAAGATACACAGTGAATGTTTTACTTGATATGATTTATGTTTTTAGTGAAATTTTATGTCATATATTAGAAACATTAAAATTATAGTACCTTGTATTACAAGAAACACAGCTAGGAGAACCAAGATCTTCCACATGTTTTCTTCTGTGTGTCGAATGAAACACTAATGTCAATCTTATTATATTTATATAATATTTTTCCTGTAATCGATGTCCGGTCAATTTATGGAAATTTACTAAACATGTGATGATACAGTGTTAATTAATTTAATTCTTTGAAGAATCATTGAACCATTTGTCGATCGACCATTAGCATTACGAACTTACTGATGTTGTTTATCATTGCCTGGGCGGTAATTCAGGCTATTTTTTTGTAAAGCAATGTTTTACATACACATCTTGTTTATTACAAGAAAAAAATCCCTAATAATACTGTCTAGTAAAACAAGATCTTTCTCAGGTGTAAGATATTTTACTGGAAGGTAGTATGTGTTGTTGATGGAAATTTAAAGCATGCAATAAAGGATCATATAAACAAATTTTCAATTACATCTAACATAATTTATTAAAGTCATTTGTGTTAAATTGATTTATCTGAGAACTGGACGCTTCCTGCTTAAACTCAGTTAAGTTGACCATAATGACCAATGACCATAAAAATGTCCACTATTTTTTAAAACCCTCCATAGACTAAAGGCGAAAAACAAAAAGACAATGAAGTACTGATGATCACAAATCACTTTTGTTTATTTAAGTAGGGCGGTCCTTCGGATGAGACCGTATAAACCGAGGTCCTGAGTCACAGCAGGTGCTGGCATGAAAAAGATTCCTCATTGCTCAATGACCCTGAGTGCCGAGTATAGGTTTAAATTTACAGCCCTACACCGGCAAGTGGTGGCGTCTCCATATGAGCGAAAAATTCTCGAGAGGGAACTTCAACAACAAACAAACAACAAACTTAAGTGGTCAAAATACCTGAAAATAATTGATCAAATGATTGTATGTTGTTTAACGTTCCATTCGAGAATTTTTACTCATATATAGAGACGTCACCATATACCGGCGAAGGGCTACAAATTTGGGCCTTTACTCGGCATTAGGGCCATTGAGCAGTGGGGATCTATATCGTGCCAACACCTGCCGTAACACGGGGCCTCGGTTGTTTATGTCTCACCTGAAAGACCCGCAACTTTCACTTCAAAGTGCTGAGGGCTTGGCGAAGGAACAGTTGAAACCTATTTTTATCGACTTAAGTAAGTGGAGGCCCTGATTTTTCGATCATGGAGCGAGTGCTCTACCGACTGACCTACCGTGAAAGCCACCTGAAAATGAAGTGTTCAATCTATTCATCTTAGCTATTATAATGCTATAATTGCTGAATTCGATCAGAAATTAACTAATAAACTGTACATTTCAATTAATTTTAACCTAGATCAAAGGACGGATTAATCTTTCTTTATAACATACCACTAAATTAGAACTCTTTAGTGTGCAGTTTGTAGAAGGCTCTTAAGTTGTGCCAATGAACATAAAATTATGTCCAATGTATTTTCCTCTTAATATCAAGGAGAACTTTTTCGGTAGTTTTCTGTATGTAAACACCTGATGAAAAAAAATTGCATGAAAGACGTTATGAAATATTTATCATAGGCACAGAAATTCGACCCTTTATACAATATAATCTTAATCCAGTGTAAGTCACTGTAACCCATGTCACAAAAATATTTGGCCTATAAAAGTTCATGAAAAATAATGACATCATTGATAATTTCGACACTAAGATATATCGCCGACGTTTTATAAATAACAAATATTCATTTTTCATTCCTACGTTGACTAGTGAGTCTAACACATTTGTTTCATATTTGGAAATTTTACTAAAAAAACATTAATATGTAATCCGATAACAAAACTTTATGATATACGTGATAACTTCAATTTTTCTATTATTAACCTCTCTTATTTATGAAGTCATATACCATTATCACCTGCATACGGAATTTATGTCTCGCTATTGACAAATAAGTGGATGACACAAGGATATCAACAGTCCTGCTTAAAGGCAACATTTCGCAAATTCTATTGTCGATACAAATAGCAAATTTTATCTATCGCAAAGTAGAATGCTGACTGACGTTTTTCATAAAAACTGCTAGGGTATTATTTTCGTTTTAAATTCTCTGCGGATTTTTCAGTTTACCGATCAGGACAACGAGCACAGGGCGGGTGGACCGGTCGACAGGGGATGCTCACTCCTCCATGGCACCTGATCAAAATCAATCAAGAACTCAATAAAAACAATAAAAATATGTGGATTCTATAAATCAATATGTTTACAAAATAAACGTATGTGGGGATGTAAATTCGTGAGTAAGAGTAACCACCGAAATCCATGAACATTGGTCCCCACGAACAATGATGATTCCACAGTAATTAACCTTAGGTAATTAGGCAATTAGTTATTGATAATATTTTTCTAAAAATATAACTTTCATGGTTGCCTTGGTAACACAGTGTGGTGTGGCCATACAAATTTGCTGCTAAGTTTTGGTTGATCCTATTTCTTGAGGAAAAACATAGAAACATTCTAGACTGACGAATATCTATTGCTAGGACCTTGTAACACAAGTAGCGTAAGAAAAATTTGGATTAATTGCTACTTTGCAGCTTAACCATGGAAATAACATACCAGTGGTTTATAGTGAAATTTTTTTGTTGCTTTAGGAATTTGTAACAATTCAATCAAGAAACATATTTTTTTTGACTTTTCAAAAATAGTATTTAACTGATAGAGCTAAAAGTGAATATATATTGGTAAAGTTTGATGAAGAAAAAAAACCCACTGTTGCTATGGTTACCAAGAAGAGAAAATGTTCGACTTTGTTCACTTTATGGCAATATTAAACCCCATGTGGTAGTTTCTTGCATCCAGTTAGAGATTGTGTGGAAGTCAAAATTGAAAGTCAGGTTGATTGTTCATAAATATCAATCACAAAAGGTTTGGGAATATACAAACAAGGGTACGTTTCCAAGTAAACAAAATATTTTTCAACTTTTTATGCATATTTTTTCAGCTTACTTCTATTAGAATTAGAAAGAATATTTAAATTGAATTTTGTGAAAAATAAAAATTAAGACAACATCAACACCTTTAAAAATTGACCAACAGTTAAATAGAAATCTGCTTTTTTAAAAAAGAAAGGATCAGCTTAAAACACCCAGAGAGTAACTTTTAAATCCCTTTGCAGTATTAAAACCATGGCAACCATTGCCAACCAATAACATTGTCATTGATAACATTGTTATCACATTTCGTCCTTGGTATGTATTACCAGGATCTTTGTCTTTTACTTGTTTTTATTTTTGAGTGTATGACGGTATGAAAATGAATGAATAAAATTTTTACTTTTGAATACTTTGTTTCCATAGTAACATGTAAAATTGATTTCTCAAATATGTTTATCATGCATTTAAGACATCAAGCCTTCAACTTTTGGAAGCAGTCATTACCACTTGTTTGCACTGCTGTAAGCGTTAACTATGGAACACTGAACATGTTGATTGATTGATTGTTGTTTTACGTCCCGTTCGAAAATTTTTCATCCATATACAGACGTCCTGAACATGTTCATGATGTTGAAAATGACATCTTTCAAACTTTATGGCAATTTACCATGGTAACCATGAGGCATAGGAACAAATTTTTGCCTGATTTGAGATTACTGTATCAAAGAACTTTCAGCACAGACAGTTTGGAGAAAAATTCTAAGACTATGCGTGCCACAACTCCAGTATTAAATTTCGAGTTATTACAGAGAATGGTTTTTAACATGCTAAGCTGATTCTTATGCATTGTTAGGAGAATCTTTCACTTCATACGTCTATTTACAGTATCTTTTTCCTTGATTAGACTTTTTATGCATAATTTATACTCCTTTAATTTAGCCTAACAGTCAACATAAAGGGGAATACTCTATAATTTTACAATTATAATCGAGGCTTATTTTTTTTTTTAATTTTTTTTTGTACTTTTGACAAGCCTATCTTCTATCGAGAACAAGGTGTAGGTATGTTGTTTTGTCAATTTTTTTTCTACAATTATCTTTATTTATTTAACAAATGTTGCTGTTATCGATATTGATACATAGACATGTCATGGGATAAATAAAAATGCAAAATAATTCGAGAAACATATGTTTTATTCTTTGTATAAATTGAAACTTCAAACATCATATTTCGATCAATAAGGGAATAATAACATATCTGTCATGTGCATCTTACAACAGGTTTTATATGAAGCAAATTACTATTGATAAACTTTAACAAACATATCGCATGTCAAGCATCAGATGTTAAGAAATAAATGGTATGTAAAGATACTAATTAATCAATTTAGGTTTAACAAAGGAGGATCAAACATCGGCATAAAGACAGGTTTTACAGAAATACTAACCAAACACGACCAAATGTTACCTCCCTACTCGTTTAATGGAATTGATTGATAAAAAAAAATGTATGGCTCATGAAGTATCACAAGTCTACATATTATCATAAGCCTGAAGACAATGAAGCAATAGTAGGACTGATGATTTGATGAAAAGGCAAAGACAATGCCTTTCTAACTGGGACACAACATTATATGTAAGCTCATATATTTTCTTCTCAGGAATATTTCTTTGTTTTACCAAATTTCGGTTTTGATATCAAGTTTCAAAGTGATTTGATATTTCGTACCGAATTTCTTGTTTTCTGGGTTCAGCTGAAAGTAAACAAGGTATTAAATTTGTTCCAATTTACATGTAATGTAAAAAAAAATGTGTTTCTTTTTCACATCAGTTAAATCTAATAGTTATACAGTTATATCCATATTTATTTCAAACATAAATAAAAACCCCAAAATTGAAAAAAAATATAACCTACTAGCGAATTTTGTCTTATTAGATACAAGCAGTCATATGGTGTATTGAGAATAAAAACAAAGAATGATGTATATTTTCAAGGCAAATTTCATCTAAGCAGACAAATATTGTAGGAGTATAATTACATCTTTTACATCTCTTCTTTCATCAGAAACACTCTACCCATCGCAATGAATAAATTATGTCAACAATTAGATACATTCAGGTTGTTTCAATGTTCATTTTGTCAATACATAGAATTTCGTTTAATGAAATACAAGCAGTTACATTGTGTATTGGATTTACTCAGTAGTATTTATTTCTTGTGGTTTTGGTATCGGTGAGAAATTTCCGTGAAAATATACTCATCTTGCTGTATAGTAGTACTTGATAATTACTTATAAATTCCATTTGAAGAGTCGGAGTTAACAAAATTCTTAGAATAATTGCAATCAAGAAAGAGCGTTAGGTAAATATAATCATCTATACACCAATGATTAAATACCTTCTTGAGAAAAGAAATTTAGATGGAACGTATTTTATGTATCAATCTTGACCCTGATAAATGTGCAGGAAATGTTATTTTGTAGTACATCGTTGTTTTAAACAAAGTTGATTGTATCATTTGGAAACGACAACGAAATATATGAAAACTTGATGCAATTTCTGCTGTTAGATTAATAATAGAGAAATTAACTATTCTAGGTCAAGTAGATCTTGTCAATCAAATTCTGTCCTCTTTGTTCATATGATTATATCAAACATTTGAGAGACTATGGAGTATATGAGACGTATCTTGAAAGATATATAAAGCAGGTACTATCATGTAAGGTTCATAAAGCAGTCCTGTAAGGAAGCAAAAAAAAGAAGAAATAGGAATATTGGGTTTCATTTAAGGTGTCTCATTTATTCCTTAAGCCTTAGAGAATAAAGATAGCTTTTATTGACAAGTCTAAACAGGTGTATCAAACTTTATGTTTCAGACTATGTCCTGGGGACTTGGTTCAGACATAAAAAGTCTGCAAGCAGCGACTCGAATACAGGGGTTTCAGACTACGGTCTTGGACAATTAAGAGAATAAAAAAGGATAAAAGTGAAAACTAGCTTAATTATATACCAATCAGTTGAAGTCGAAGTGTAGCGACTTTGTTAATTTGCACAAAAACATATTAACGCAGACAACATTAAGAAGAATTATTGTTCGTGGTTAGAACCCACCCTACAGATTACAATATGATAAATATTTACTGAAATTCATCGCTAAAGAAAGTCTCAGATAATGCTGTTTAAATGACTGTTGTTGTTAAAAACTTAGCCAATTAAATATCCCTCCCTTCCAAGGTAAAAATGAACAAAAAGTTTTGTTTATAAAAAGTGAAACTATGCATTATACAAATTAAATATATAAACACTTCCATATTATGTAATAAGTGACTCGGTCTCGTAGAAGAGGAAGCTATATTTATGTTTATTTTCCTTGATATACCGTAACTCAGATATTCTATGATGTAAATGTTCATAAAAAACCTGTTTATTGCAATTTATTGACTTTAGTTTCATTTTATAAGAATTCCTTAACAGTATTTTCACATTGCAGCAGGATCATTGCATTGAAAATGCATCGTCTCTCCAATGATTGCTGGATAGAAATGGTGTCGAAAGGTGTCTACATTTTCTGCAGTCCATTGAAATTCGATCTCATTGCAACTTTTTAACTCTTCTAATGTTGTGTTCAAGAGCTGGTTGTATGATCTGTTTCAAATAAAATATGGAATAATTTTTTTTACTGAACAGATAATAAAAATACTATTTCAAAGACACAACTGTCAGTAGCCTGCCTCGGTTTGAAAATTGGTCGTAATCAAAGCATGCACTTTAGTATCAAATAAGTTGGGAAACGTGAACCACATATGTAGGCAATAACGAAATATTACTACATAAATAAGGAAAGTTGACGATGGAAAAGCTGAATTCATCTCCTTTGTCATACAATTTAGATGTTATTGGCTCTTTCATCTATAATCAGTAAAACATCCAACTATTAAATAGATGTGGCAGACTCAGAGGTGTCTTCTTTTATTTCGGGTTCATTTGATATATCGACTCGACATTTGAATGGAAGTAATAAAATATGGAGACAACGAATAGCATTTTCAAGCTAAAAGTCCATTAAACCAATACAAATCGGGAGCAGAGCAAACACGGACCTCCAAAAACAGAGGGGGGACCAGGTGAAACGGAGGAGCGAGCATCCCTGTCGACCGGCCACACCTGCCATCCACAGTCGGTAAAAATCCGTCGACAATTCAGTGTGTAAATAATGGCCTAACAATTAGTAAGAAATAACATCAGTCAGCATAGGACTAAATGATAGACTGTATTTGCTGACATGGTCATTGTATCGACCTTAGAACTTACGAATGAAGACTTTAAACGAGACTGTTGATATCCTTGTTTCATCAACTTGTTTGTCAATAACTTACCTCGTTTTAGAAATTGTTCATACGTAGAGCATGCTCTTGCGTATCGAATCAACTGAAAAAATATCATCCCAAATGCAGGTGATAAGGTATATTGTTGCATAAGAAAGGGAAGTTGACGATTGAAATGTTAAAGTCATCCTGTTTATCATTAAGCTTGGTTGTTAGATTACCATTAACATCTTTTTCTAATAAAATATCCAAATGTGAAACAGATATGTCAGACTCTGTATATCTTTTATTTCAAGCTCACTGGGATATATCGTGTCGACATATGAATGGAAATGACTATTGTTAATTGATAATACGTCGTCAATATTTCTAAATATCGAGTTGAAGGCCATAGCAAGAGATATCTTTTTCTCATGTATATCATTTTGAATAAATTCTGCTTCATATGAATACCAAAATAGGTCTGCTAATAACGGGGCGCAATTGGTACCCATGGGAATTCCAACAGATTTCTGGAAGATCTGGTCTCCAAAAACCACATATATATTGTCAATCAGAAACTCAAGCATCTTTTTAGTATCAACTTAAGATTACCTATGTGTACAATAAGAATGTTTTTTAACAAAATAATTTTTTAAATGATTAATGACAAGGTAATTAAATTTAGGAGTTCCATTTTTATTGATAAAGCAGCTGTCAATGATGTCAAAAAGTCTAACTATTGTTAATTGATAAAACACACAGCAAATTCTTTCTTCTCATGTACACATTTTTGAATAAACTCTTAATAGGAGTAAAAACATGTCGGCTAATAAAGGATCATTTCCAACAGTATTCGAGAGGTGAAGTTAATAAGATGTAAATACTTAAAAACTTCTTGGAATATTAGTAAATTTGAAATAATTTCCCCCCAAAATCAATAGCATCAAAACGTACGACTTTTCAACACTTTATACAACCATTCCCTTCGATAAATTAAGACCAGACTTCTTGACATCATTGACAATTGCTTCTACAATAAAAATGGAACTTGTAAATACGCATGCCTTTTTCAATGGCCACCTGCAACTTATTTTATTAAACATCCTGTTTCCAAACACAAGTACTCCGAGGTTGGTATTAAGATGTTGCATGACTTGTGTTTCTTATTGACAATGTCTATGAGTGTTTGGAGATCCGGTCTTCCAAACCTGTTAGAATTACCATGGATCCTAATTGTGCCCCTTTATTAGCAGACATTTTTTGTATTCATATGAAGCAGAAATTTAAAATAATTCTAAAAAACATCTACATGAAAAAAGGAAGCCTCTTGTTGTGGCCTTTACTTCGAAATTTAAATATATCAACGACGTTATATCATTTAACAATATTAATTTCCATTTCTACGTTGATTCGAAACATCCATATGAACTCGAAATAAAAGACTCAACAATCTGATACTTCTGTTTCATATCTGGATGTTTTACTAGAGGAAGACATTGATGGCAAACTGAAAACAAAACTTTATGATAAACGTGATGACTTTAACTTTTTTATCTTCAACTTTCCTATTTTATGTAGCAATATTCCTATATCAGCTGCATATGGAGTTTACATCTCCCAGTTGGATGTAGGATATTGGCAAAAAAGGTGATGATGCAAGGATATCAGCAATCTCGTCTAAAGCCAACAATTAGCAAATTATATAGTCGATACAATGACCTTGTTAGTAAATGCAATCCATCGTTGAGTCGAATGTTGACTAATGTTTTTTTCCTCATTTATGCTTTTAGTTCATCTTATATAATTTCATAAAACTGTCTTTCATACAAATTGTTAGGTCATTATTCTCACACTGAATTACCTACTGTGTTTTTCGTGTACCCATTCATGACAAGGAGCACAGGGTGGGTGTTACCGGTCGACAGGGGATGCTTACTCCTCCATGGCATCCGATCCCACCTCTGTTTTCAGATGTCCATGTTGGCTCTGCTCATTATTCGTATTGTTTAAATTGACTTTTGAGAATGACATTGTTCGTTATCTTTACATTTCAGTTTTAGGGAAATTAAAAAAAAAACAACCACAAAATAATACTTAAAATTCCAATCACATTTTCAAAAAAAAAATTACTGTGCTCTAATGAAAGTTTTTCGATAAAATTAATGTGCATCAGGAAATAATTACCACCTAAACTTTGAAAATTCTATATAACCGAGTAGATTATTTTAAATTATCTATCGAGAATTGGCAAAGCATATTAAATTGTTCCTTTAAAGTGAGAATTTTTAGGACCGAATTCCTATTCAAACATATTTACTGTATTTTAAATAATCAACTCAATCACGATTTATACTACTAACTACATTAACTTACCGACAGAAAAGGCTCTTGGACATTTCATTACTTGCAGTATTTTGACCTGTTGATTCCATTAAAGCTACCACTGCTTTTCTGTATTTATCAAGCTGCGGGTACCTGCTGTTCATACACTGTCGCATTCCTTGTAAAACTAAAGATACATGTAAGCATGTGTTGATTATTCAAAGAGATTACGATGAAGTAAAATTATACCAGCCATATGAAAACATAATACGTGCGAGGAAATATAGGAGTTTTACACATGGTCGTTTCTATTGCTGCAATTACCAGAAGAAAATTTCTTTCGTCACGACATTCTGGGAGATCATTGATATTTAGGTCTTTCTCACATTGAAGTAGTTCACTCATATACCTGTAATATGATAGTTTACAAAAAATATGAAACTTTTTCTTTCATATTTCAATTAAAGCTACCCTAACAAATAGATTATTTGTTCCTAGTGTCCGAAAATATTTACTGATATTTCATTACATCGCTGATAATGCTTCCTCATCAAGCCTGTTTTCATAAAAAAATCTTTTTTGGCCAGTCTCATCGTCAGTTTCGTTTTATATTTTATCGGCATTGATTTTTTTTATGGCCCTGTACATATGATTCCAATAATTCATATTTCTCTATGTAGAGGGTAATAAGGAGCTACCAATCTTCTAATAAGGTAAGCTCGTATTATGTTATGAAAGATAACTCTAACACAGCACAGCACATTACCACAGTGAAAAGAACTATGCAGATGGATATATCCTCTTCCAACATTAAAAAAGGACACGGAGAAATAACATTCATTTCATTAGTGTGTCTGTGATCCCAAAACAAATTTATACAAGTAGCTTTGTGTTTTAATGTGTTCATTAGCATACCAATAGCTTTGAGTTTTAAGGTGTTCATTAGCATACATGTACCAGTAGCTTTGTCTTCTGAGGTATTCAATAAGATACCAATAGTTTATTGACCCTAGGTGCTCAATATCAAGCGAGTAGCTTAGTGTTAAAATGTGATAAATTACAAACTAGTGGGTTAGTGTTTGAAGGCGTTTACTAACTTAAAAAATAACTTAGTGTTTTAATGTGTTCATTAATAAACTTATAGCTTATTGTTTTCATGAGATTACTAATTAATAAGTTGCTTTGTGATTTAAGGTGTTCAGTGACAATTAGCCGTTTTATGATCCGAAGTATTCACCAACAAACACTAATTTAGCTTTCTGTGGTGTTCACTAGTTACAAACTAGTAGACCAGTGTTTTAAGGTGTTCGCTACCAAACCGGTAGCTTAGTGTTCAAAGATGTTCACTTGCAAACTAGCAGCTTTATGTTGTTCACCAAAAATCCTGTAACTTAGCGTTATGTTTCCATGCGTGCTAGTTAGTCCCCTACCGGTGAAACCGGAAGGGACTTTAGGTTTCCTCTGAGTCTGTCTGTCCCTCTGTCTGTCCAACTTGGTTTTCCACACTTTTTTTCTAAACGCTTGAAGGTATTGATCTGATTTTTGGTATGTGGGTGTATCTTGATGAGTTACAGATTAAGTTTGCATTTCGCTCCGCTTCAATGATTTTTGCCGGCATTCCTACCTTTTCAATTTTTTCAGGGTTTTCCGCAATTTTTTTCAAAACGCTTGCATATATTGAGCTGAATTTTGGCATGTGACTTTACCTTGATGAGTTATAGATCAAGTTTGCATTTTGTTACACTTCATTGATTTTTGACGGAATTGTGGTATTTTCAATTTTTAACGGGAACCAGATTACATTTGCCGGTACGGGACAAGTATTGCTAATGCAATACTCTCAGAATGCTTGTTGCTAAGTGTTTTAAGGTTTCATTAACATACTCGTACATATCTGTTTTAGATTGTTACTAACATGCTAGTTGCTTATTACAAATCAGATACTGATAGCTTAGGTGTTTTAAGGTGCTCATTAATAAGCTCGTAGCTCTGTGTTTAATAAGAAATGAAAGAAAGGTGAAAATAAGGAACAATGATCGATCG